TACCGGACCCCTTATGTCGAAGTTGCCTGGAAGAGGATGAGGTGGAATCATCTCAACACTACCTTCTTAGATGCCCAGCGTTTGCGAGGCGAAGGTCGAAGTACTTTAGCTCTCACTTTCTAAATAGGCCCGAGGATCTCTGGGGAGCTCGGAGCGTTTTAACGATAAAATTTAGGGGACCGTTCCAAATTGTGTTATCACAAGAGACAATCTTATACTGTCTAAGTGAGCTCCGGTTACACGGGGCTGCCACTTTACCTAACCTAACCTATCCAGCACCAGCTGCACGCTGAAATTTAGCAAGCGCTCACATAAATATAGAATGGACTGAGGCTATTGTAGTCTTTATAGTTAAGTCAGACAGGGTATCTCATGTCAGTCAAACTCAATTACTCCAGGCCAACAAGCCTCAGCTCCTTTTGTCTTAAAATTTTAGAAAGACTTCTTGACGTCCATATCCGATAGCATCTTTTGTTAACATGCTAATACTAAAAACAAATCCGTTGACACTGCGATATATGAAATTGTTTTTGAAAATTTAGAAGGTTCCCCAAGAATCTTTCTTGACATTGAAGGTGCCTTTAACACTGTTCTTCCAGACTCCGTGAGGTCATTTTTTCAAGTGTGTGCTGGAACGGCCGCTGGTGGAACTTATAAGATTTTTTCTTGAGGGAAAAACTATCTGCTCGGAGTTGAGGGACGTGTTCGTGACTAGGTATGCAGCGAGAGGTAGCTAACAAACACAGAATGTGATTGCCGCTCACAGCAACAGATAAGCATCTCCAAACACTAAGCGAACTTTTACAGAACGCTCTCTGACTCGTAAATAGCTGATCAAGCGAGAATGGACTCAAGGTCCTAGGAAGCTGCAACGCACGCATAAAGAGACAGAGAGAGGTTCGGTCACTTCAAAATTCTGGGCACTATTCCAGCAACCTGGCATGCACACTAGACTACACAAGTCCAATTATTTGCTTCGATTTGCAGGTTTTATAAAAGAAGTCCAGACAGCAGCTGCTGGGTAAACCGCGCGGCTCCCTGACTACTATGGCGTTTTCAAAGCCTAATTAACAGCTCAAAGGGAGGATGCCGTATGACTTACAGCCAAGCAGCGTTAAATCTCTACAGTGCAGCAAAACTTCCTCGACTAGTTTCAGGTGTTCAGCGCTTCCCTGGTACAGAGTTATACGGTTACTTCCTCTTTGGAAAAGTTGGTCCATTCTCAAAATTCGAATATAGCGTTAAGATTTACTACAAGAATTTTATTGTGGAGGCTGTCAAGATTCCAATTGAGGATGATACTACTTGAACCATATTAGTGAACGCTCCTAAACTGTTTGAGTTCGAATTATAATAAAACTAAAACCTTTTCGGTTACAATTCGCTTTATATAAAATAAAGGATATTTCCTTAAACTGGAAAAAGGCATGAAAACCTCGTAAGATAAGAAATTTTGAGTGAAATGTCGAAATTTATATGGAAAAGTGTTTCGAGAAGTTATGTAAAAGCTCAAACATTCATAAAAAGTAAGTTCAACAAAACAAACCAGTTATTTTTTGAAAGAAATAAAAAAAGGAAGTAAAGAAAAAACATTTTTGGAAATTTTCGCAGACTTTTTATTAGTTATTCACAATGGTAGACTGAGCCAAAACCACCTAATAAAATAGAACCCAATTTATGGTTTTTCTTTAAGATGAAAACCTTCTTATTTTTAATCGTAGGAGAATCTCGGCCAAACACGAACATATTGTGTAAGCGCCAATCTATTACATTATTATGATCTTTTCAATGAAATGAAGAAGGAATATGCTCGATTTGTATTAGGTGCCTACATAATTAAAACGCAGAATATGAGCAAATATTACGAGTTACATTAAAATTGTGACACACATACATACGTATCTTAGAAAATGCATTATCTTCATATTTGTATAAACGCGAAATTGCATTTAAATGAAAATTTAAAAAAGAGATACATACTAAAAAAAGTTAAAATAACCACTCGTGCTCATACACCTACGGTGACCATATTAACCAACGTAAAATAAAGGGCTTTTTTTTCAAAATGATTTGGAATACATACATACAACTTGTATGATAAAAGTACCTTACCCATATCGTAATATAAATCAAATATCTACCAACTAATTATATTATTTAATTGTACAAGTTCCCCTGCTCTAGGTCTTCGCCATCCTTTGCTACCAACATGCGTGTACCATAATTCATAATTCAATTTTCAACCAATTTTTATTAAAAACCAAAAAGAAAAATATTTATTTTGATGAACATTTTTTTATAACATTTCAAATTTTTCTTTTGTGTATTTTTTTATTTTAGAAGAACCATACAATTGTTTTCAACTAGCTTTTGTTATGTAACATTTACTAACTGAAACAGGAGAATAAATTTTTTTCAAAATTGCTACTTTTTCTGCATTTTGCACTAAAAAATTTAATGTAATCAACTAAAAATTCAGAAATCAGGCTCAACTGGTCTCTTGCAAATAGTGTAAAATTAAAATTAATCAAAATAAGTGAAAAATGAAGGCTTCAGTGAATTACGAGCACTAAGTTCCACTTTTGAACTAATGTGCAGCAGGGCGTTTATTGTTCTCGTTCAGTGGAATCGGGAACTCAGCGTGCAACACGATCCTGGACACAACTTTCCCTGTGCTTGATAGATTGTACAAAGATTACCGATTAAATAGAAACCCTTAAGTGGGGTGCGAAACAAACTGGCGAAGGTTTTCATTATATTTTATAAGGGACATTTTTATTTTTCATATTCTGCGTTAAAAAATTTACCTTTGAAAAATGTAGAGCCGATTTAAAGGACAGTTTCAGAAATAAAGGACAAAAGGCGTCCTTTAAAAAATAAAAAAATTAAGGACAGGGGGTTAAAATAAAGGATTAATTTTTTTTCGTCTGCCGTCGCCTGAAATCAGGATTTTTTGCCACTTGCTATGACTACACCTTAGAAATGTTCGGATTTGTTGAATAAATTAAATCGTTAAAAGTAACTGCTTACTTGGGCGTATACGCCAACGCTTTTCCTACCAGGCTATATACAAATAAAAAAAATTAAATATTAAAATACCAGTTATTATTTAAAATTTTACGGCACTTGAATTTATTAAAAAACGAGAAGATCTTAAATTTGACTTATAATTTACCAATTGAGACTTATTAAAAACCTATTTACCGGAAAATTGAGCTGCTTTTCTCAAGCTAGCTGGTTTTTGCTCACTAAAAATATCCTTTTTCACTAACACACTCTCACGAGATACCTGTAGCAGTACCTACATATATCAGTATTAGTGAGCGCAATATTTTGCTAAGCCCCGCCCTTAGCATTCACATCCAGCAAACGAATACTCTTCACCCTCTACACTTAACTGCTCTGCTGAAAAGCACATATGTAAATGCATAGAAATGAATGTTTGTTGGTGCCACTACTCAGCACACTACAACTCAACCCTCGGAACCAGTTTTCCCAATTCGATTTATGAGCACTCGAATTTGTTGCACGCCTCACACTCACTTACACCAAACCTATCTACAGCCAGCCAGTCAACCAACCAGCCAGCCAACCTGGCTGGCGATGTGTAAAACAACTCGAAAAAAAATACTAAGCAATGTCAGCCTAGGCAACCTGAACGACCGGTTTGGTCTTGCCGTTTGTTTATTGCCACCTTTGCGTTGTGGCAGTGTACTTCGTGTTTCACTCGAGCTGCGGCTACCTGGTTTTACGGTTCATCAATCAGCGCGATATTTGAAGACTAGACGACGCAACGCTGCGTCTGTGTCAAGTTGGAATTTAACGGTTACGGAATTTTGACGGGTCGACGACATTCAAAACAAAAAAGAAGCGATTATTGAGATAAGATTACGCACGTGAATTTGGCGAAGCTCGAAAGCGTCGGCGTTTCGTTAGTTGCTCAAATTTCGCTACAAAAAAAACAAACTCAATGGCTTCATAACGAATCTGAGGATAATGTGTGGTTTTAAAAATTGTAAAAATTCCTTTTGTGAATTTGATTAACAAAAGAATAAATAAAAAACAAAAATAGTTTCTGTGATTTTATGTGCTTTTAACTAAGAGAGGAATAAATTAAAAAAAAAAAAAGAGTTTTGTAGTTATGCGAAGTAGTATTTGACCCTGTCGGCAGTATTGGTGGAGAGTATTTACGGAAATTTGTGACATAAATACTACATACTTAAATAAAAAAAGAAATATTACTAGAACCAAAAAGTAAATAAATAAAAAAAATGGATATAAAAACTACGCCACCACCCTCATTAATCAACAGCCGTTCCACCGCAACGCCACCAGTCAAAAACAGCGCCACGTCATCAGCACCCGCCTCGCCTGTTGCCACCTCTACGGGCGCCGTGATGAACAGTGTCAGCGCTCTTAGCGGCATCTCCAGCATGCAAAAGCAGACATTTCAAAATATTTTCGAGAAACTTGTTTCCAATAATGGCGAGGGTGGCAAATTTCCGCCGAAACAACTGGAAAATATTCGTCATTTGTTGGAAAATGTGCGCGATTCAAAGCATCTGCAGCTGATTGTGGAAAAGTTCAAGAATTTGGAGCAATTCGATCAGAATTTTTTGAGCGGTAGCAATAATAACTCGGTCATTTCAGAAGGTATTAAAATGTTTTTTTTTTTTTTGTTTTTTTTTCGTAAAATTAATATGTTTGTATATTTTTGTAATACCGCCGGTTTTCAGTCTGTTTGCTGTTCATTATCGTTCAAAATTTTATTTCCAGTTAAAGTAAATTTTACTTTTATGTATATATGATGGTATTACTATACTGCCTACAGTATTAGGGCATAATATTTAGTAAATCTGCGTTTTTAGTTTTTGTACCAGGTAGTCAAAGGACTATAAATTATTATATATTTCCAAAGTTTGCACAAAATTTGGATATATGAGTATCAATTAGAAGAAAATTTCAAAGCAAAATATTAATTAGAACTTTTGTTTTCAATTATCCTTTTGGAACATGTTCAAAATGTCCTTTAAAAATATTATCCTTCAAGATTGAATGCATTTTGAAGAATTTTAATTTAAATCCTATTAATATATATAAGGATATTGAAGGATGAAATTGCAAAGGATATTTTAGTTTAATAAATTTTTTCGATGTCCTTGGGAAGAATCCTGCCGTTCTATTAAACATGTAAAGATGCAGATTTACTATAAATGCGCTAAAATATGGGAAACATATCGAATTTTTCGCATTTCCAAAGCTTTCATTGCCTATTCATTCAAGTTATTAATACAAATTTTTTTTTCATATATTCTTGGGACAGTCTAGTGTACATGCTCGTAATTCGGATTTAAAGGACAATTCTCATTCGCCCCAAAATATCGATTTATAAAAAAATCCCAATTGCTCAATTAGTGCTTAATTGAGTGCTAGTGAATGCATTTTTTCATGTTTTATATGTTTAAATTTGACTTCTGGTCCTCTTTCACAGCTGATATTTATTCCATCAGGCATGGAAAATTGAATTTTAAATTTTGCGGAAAAACTTTACCTAAAAATAGATAAATGAATCCCAAAAGTATAAATGTATTTTTATAAGTATATATGAACGTCTGAACTCACATAAAAAAATGGCTATAAAAAGAATCTCTCCGAACATTTCGAGACAAAACTATATTTTCGAAAAGGCGAATCATTTTCTTCCGAGTTCTTCGATCTGATGTTTTAAAAAGAAGTTTTTATGGCGTTCAAACTACAGTTACGTTATTTTGACCACCATTTTGTATCAATTGTAATGCCCCTGCACAAAGGAGGGAGGCCATTGGAAAAGTTACCCACAAAAGAAAATGCGTTGAAATGTGAATAAAAATACGAACTGATTTCCTGAAAAGTTGGTTGACTACCTCCCGAACTTACCTAAAATTGTGTATCTGTACCGAATGTATTTTCACAGTAAATAGGGGTACAATTGTACCAACTTTTCCATCACTGGAAGCAGCTGACTGTGTGCGACAACCAAAAATCGGTAGCTCAATTAAAAAGTTAATTGACTCAATTAAATTTCTTTCCAAACTTAATATTAATCGTAATATTTTTATTGAGCTTTGTACCACGATTGTTTATTAGGAAAAATTGAAAAAGCAACAAAGTCTAAGCGGTAGAAGTTATAGCACTATTTCGGAGATCACCACATCTCCTCATCAGACTTCTTTTTTCTATACTTCAGCAGGGATCGAACCTGCGTATTCGATGTTCAAAGTCAGAAGCATTAGCCACTGAGCTATGTACATCCCGTAAACTCTTGTTGCTAATTCATTTTCCTTTTTTTAAAAGCAAATAAGCAAATGTATGTATAGAATTGACACCAACAACCACGCTGTCGAGTTTAAATAGCGGCAAATCAGCTGCACTTGATTAAGTTTTTGTTTTAACTATTTTCAAATAGTGGGACGCTTAAACTGTTGTTATAAATTGTAATATTCGTAACCGGACGATATCTATAATACAAACGCAATAACTTAACTCTTTCTTTCTTTAATCACGGCAGAACATCGGCGTGTACAATCGTATCGCTCTTCCCTTGAGTATTGACCCTCTAACGCAATATTTTTTGGCGGGATAAAATTTAAATTTTTTTTTAATCTTCGTTCCCAGCCGAAGATATGTTTCATTTAAAGAACTTCTAATATACACACCTTGTTTTATTTAATTCTTAAAATCCTTTTCCAACAGTTTTTTGGGGTCGCTCGAGACCCCATTCGACTACTTGTGTGATTTTATTTATGCACCCCATTAAGGGTTAACACTACGTGGCTCCTTAGAGACCGTTAAGGTCCATAGCGTTACCAAATAAACTACGGCCACATTAAACAGCTAATCACTGAGTACCAGGAGTAATATTGAAGAACATCGCAGCCCTTCAAACTTTAATATTTTGTTGTACTCTAATTTTTTGGCGGCTTCCAACTAAGGCAAAATGCCTGTTTCTAGAAACCTATTCTGGGTCTGCTAAGGGCAGGACAAGAACTCTGGCGTCCTCTCTGTAGAGGGATATGAGAAGCATCATAAGCTTGATAAGTATCATACGCTCACCACATAATCCTAGACACTTTGCAACTTTGTGTTTTGGCCAACACCTTCTCCGCATGCCAGATCATGCCAAGTCGAGCTGCTGCTTATTCGCTGGCAGGGAAATATGCACTGCACCGCTCGTTGTGACGCGGAACTTAAATGAGTATACAACGGAAATATTCTGATTCGACTGAGAGAGAGAGAGAGAGAGAGAGCAGACATTCCTTAATCAAGATAGAGCGCACCTCCAACGTACTTAAGGCCCCGATAGCCGATTGGTTCTCAGAATAAATAAATGCTCCGTGTCTGTCATCGCACTCCCGAGAAGTGACCCATCGCCTCCATAATAGCAGCCATTTCCTCTTACAGCAGGCTGGAAGCCTGAACTTGGTACTGATGGAAAGCTCTCGACAGAAGAAACCGTCACCAACCCTACCATCCTGTTTCTATCCGTCCGTGAAAAAGTTCACAGCTCCTCCTCTACTGAAGTTCCGCCCGCTCCTAGGAGCCACTTCGGTGGCGCTGTAATCCATGCGATCAGGGATGAAAACGAAGCCACCTAGAACTCCAGAGTGTCCAGTCCTTAAGTCGGCCAACCAATCGATTTTCCTGAGTCTTGACGCCTTCTCTTTCCAAAGGCCAATGATGGCTTCCTTGCCCTTTCTTCGATGTTTGGCATCCACGACAACTTCCTGTCACGGATGAAGCCCAAGTACTTAATGTCATTATATGTCAAACAGCAGGTAGCGAAACACATAACTAAACAAATTTATAGTCCACGTAAGTACGGCTAAAATTTAGTCAATTTTGATGGCCTTCCAAATGAATTTGCGCCTTCCTTTTTAATGTGGCACGTTTTACCAAAAGCATTAAAATCTACTCATAAATACATTTTCATTTTCATTGTCCACTTTGTGTAGGCAATAAAGCATTCAACATAAATAAACAAATTGCAATACCAATAAACAGTATTAGTAACCGTAAAGTTCCTCTGATTTAATTAAAGCAAATGTGTAGTGAACACGCTCACCAGGGCTAATGTACAAACTGGCAAATAATTTTTTTTTTAGCCCTATACACATTAAACGCACGCTTGCAACCCTAATTGAATACATGTTGCGCCCTAAACCAGCGACAAAAAAAATTTAAAATTTTCAAAATTTGTTCGCAGTTATGTTGCACTCTATGTACTCGTATTTCGAAATTATGCCGCTCACTTACACTCCTAATATGTAGGCCTTCGCGCTTAGTATACATCAATGCGTTCTAAACTTTAGTTACCAACATACTTACATATATTGGCTTTATTTTTATAGCCATGAGCCAGCTGCAATGCCGGACCGCTATATCTCACCGTCACTTATTTACCAACAATTTAGGTCAACAATTAACAATTTAAGCACGCGCCGCATAATGTGCACAAATCCGTACGCGCATACACACACTCACAGAAAAGCCTGTCAGTGTGTTTGTGTATGCACAGATCTCTTAAAGTTATGCACTTTTGTATCCCTATAGATATGCAATTACTAGGTTTAACACTAGTCTATTATTAACCATGACAGGACCTTACTAAAGATGATGTTTTCGCATGGATTAAACGAAGATCGCTTAACCAAATTTTTAGTAATCGATTTCTAGAGATTTTTAAATTCTGCGCCGCCTCTGGCAGATGGAGTTCATGGGAAATAAACTCAGATATTTGCGATAGCCTCTTGAGAGGCGACCTCAAAAAAAACAAATTTTTGGGATTTGGGTACTACTAGTTGTTCGCGCACCCGTACTTAATCGGCTTTGTTATCTTACGAGTGTTATATCATGTCAAAGTCTGGAGGCACCACGGGCTCATTAGTTCAGCAATTTTTGACTCACCAAGGTTCAACAAGGGATTTGCTAAATCCCAACAAATCTTACTTAACTTGCAGCTCATGAACTTTTAAAATTATAAGACTGAGTGGAAGATCGACCTATCTCGGCAGCCAGTTCGAAAACGCTCTATCTCCGCCATATAGAGCGTTCTGCGACCAAATTCACAGATAAGGGGGTTTTCAATCAAATTCTGAAATAGCGTCTTCTTGAAAAGTTGTATGAGATAGGGCGTTTTCGAACTGGCTGCCGCGATAGGTCGATCTTCCACTCGGCAGTCGATATTTGGACACATCGGTTTTATATCCAATTACCCAACATTCTTAGGTCACTAGACTACACGCCCTTCAAATCTGAGAATATATTCTTAACATGTATTCCATTTTGGAAGCTATACAAGAAGCTGCACTTTTGGCTTATCGCCTCTTTTTTTTCTCTGCCTTCAGTAATTACATAGCTATATACTCAGGTAAGCAGCTGTGAGGTCACTGAAAACACTCGACAACGATGCCGATAGAATGCAGGCAAGTCTTTAACCAGTTATTTACAAAATTAGAAACGCTCATAGTGTGCGTCCCAAGTCCCGAACTTGCGCGGGAAAAATGTCCCTTTACTACGTCAACTCCTCTCACTCCCTACCGATATTAACCAGCAGCTCATAATTTAAATCACACTTCTTGGAGAGGGAAAATAAAATATGGTCGACGGAACACACT